GGGGATTTCAGAATGAGAAATGGAGGGATATGGGGTGGAGGAAATCAGGGATAGATATTACCAAGTTGGGGTTAAGAGATATTACACACTCTTATCTTAACTTGGGGTTGAGTCTAGTATTTAAATAAGATATGACACACTTATCTAAATAACTAGAACCTAAAACTCACACTCAAGAGAACCACTCTTAAGATATAGATTTAGGAATTTAAGATAGCACACACAAACAAGTGTATTACTAAGTTGGAAAATGGGAATACAATGTGTGTTTACAATGCTCAGGGATGAGCTTATATAGGCATAGAAAAAGGAGACTACCAAGTCTCTTATTCATACAAACTAAAGGAATTAATGGCCACTTGTTGATGTTCCTTTGGTGGGGGGAAAACACAGGGGTTATTGTACTTGTAGGGTAGGATTTTGGCCATTAATGGTAGGAGGGAATATGTGAATATAATTCACAATTGATTAGCTTTGGTGGGGCTATTTTTGGGCAGGAGAAAAAGGTGGGATGGTAGGTTATTTGGATGTATTTCCTGGGCTAGATATGGGGTAAAAACATGGGGGGGTTAAAGGGTGCGGGTGTGGGTCAAAGTGTCTTGGATTTTATGGCTGTTTGTTTAGCCAAGTTGAGGTGTAAGGGAGTGGTAATGGCAGGGTTATGGCATGGGGTTTTTGGTCAGGGATGAAGGAAAATAAATGTAGTTTTGGGTTTATTATTTTGGATATTTTGGGGTTTGGATTGGATGAGAATGGCTGGGTTTTAAATGGGAGTTGGGCTCAGGGAAATTATGGCTATGTGGCGGGTTTTAAGATTGATAAGTTCGGTCCAAAAGGAATCATAACACTTAGTCATTATTCCGTTAATTTGCTTAACGACTTTAGAGTCGTTGGTAGTCGCCCGGGGTATATCAGATAGGGCCAAGCCCGGATATAACATCATGGGTGAAGGGGGAGAAGGACACGTGGCGAAGCAGGGATGGTTGATTAGTAAAAGGCACCGTGCCCCGAGGTCGCCTCGAGTAATGAGCCGGTCAGATGAAGCGCAAGGGTCAAGCAAAAGGCACCAAGTCCTGAGGTGGGACTGATTGGACTGGCGGGTAAAGGCACGGAGACCAGGGTGGCTGGTACGAGCCCGAGCACGGCCTCACTGGAACGAGCCCGAGCACGGCCTCGCTGGTACGAGCCCGAGCATGGCCTCGCTGGTACGAGCCCGAGCACGGCCTCGCTAAGGCGAGCCTGAACGTTTCGGCGAAACCGACATTTATTCACCAACATTCACTCGGGAATAAGCATTTAAGGATCAAAGCGAAACAACAAAGGCATCACAAATCACGAAAGATCGGAGATAGTAGTTGCGCAATACAAAACACATCGTTCAAACACGAAAACATTACATTGAAAAAGAAGAAGGGAGGAGTTCAGCAATGGGCCCAGCCGCGCTCAGTTACCGGCGGTGTCCTCTCCCCCGCCAACGGCGTCCTCATCCTCGGAGTAGTAAATAGAGGAGTCAAACTCCTCAGGCTTCTCGCACGGCTTCGGCAGTTCCTTGCCATCTCTGATCCGCTCTAGCAAGACTTCTTGAGCCCGGTGCAAGCCCAAGGAGTAGTTGGCCATGCAGGAGAGAGCCGCCTCCTCGAACGCGGGGGAGGCTTGGAAGGCCTCGAACGCTTGCTCGCTTTCCTCCTCGAGGCGGCGCGCCTTCTCCTCAGCAGCGATACGAGCCTCCGAAGCCCGAGCCCGCTCCTCCGCCTCGGCGAGCTTCCCCTCTAGGTCGGACACGTGCCCTGCAGCTTTTGAAGCTCCTCTTCGCCCTTGACCTTATCCGCCACGTACCACTCCAAGCGCTCCACCAGCTCAGGGATGCGCATGGCCGCCTACAACAACGGTGAAATTTCAGTGAAATTTGTTAGAATCTATCTAAGTGTCGGGCAGGAAAAGCACCCGGGCTGGAATGAAGAACACTTACCGAGCCCAGTTCGAGCATGAGTGTGGATGCGAGGTCCTCCGTGGCGTCCGAACAAATCTCGATCCGGTCCAGTGGAGGGATGAAGCTCTGCAGGAAACGGCGAGGCTCATAGTCCCCGTGCAAGAACGAAGGCTTGGGGGGAAACGCCACTTTCACGAAGGCCGGGTTCCCGCAATCCACCGAGCGCGAAGATGGGGACTTCGTCCTGCTCAGCAAGGCCGCCTCCCGTGCAGATTACACGTCCTTGCGTTTCTTGTTCGGCTGGGTGCACTCGGCGGACGGTGTGGGAGTTGGGAGCGGAGGCTGAGCTTGGCTGGACTTCGCGCGCGGCTTAGATTTGAACAGCTTCTTTCGGTCGGCCGCGGAAATCATGATTTCACCTACAAGGAAAATAAGAGATAAGTTCGAATCCCCGAAAGGAATTGCGAGCGGAGCACGAACCCGCTAAAGAAGTGAACGAGGAAAACCTAAGGGGCCCTCCTCGAGTTGACTCTGGACGACCCGGCGCTTGGGCTCGTCCTGATCATGGAAGACGAACCCGAGCTCGGCGAGAGCCTCGTTACTCACTAAGGCACTGGGCTCGTAGGGGCCGCCCGAGCACAACTTATCTGTGTCAGAAATGGCCTTGGAGTAGGCAAAGGGTTTGAATCACCGACGAAAAGATCTGAGGGGAGCGGCTCGAAAAGGGGGAGCCGACCCCACAGAGACGAAAACAAACTTGGACTTCCAAGTCTTGTTGGATTCCTTCTTGGTCTTAAAGAGTCTCTCTTGCCGCTGACAGAGGGCAGCGAAAGAATCCCCATCCGACCCGGGGGACTTCGCCACTCGGAATAGGGTCAATAGGCGCTCAAGGTCGGCCCGCACGCCCATCTCCCGACAGCGGATCAAGAACCCCGCCAAGTACCGGTGCGAGTTCGGCACCAATTGGCACAGGAGGAAGTCAAAGTGCTTGAAAAAGTCGATGACCAGGGACTCGAGGGGGAAGCGGAAGCCGTTCTCAAGAGACTTGAGATGGATGGCGAAGTAGCCCGGAGGAGCGTCGAAGACTAATTCCTCCGGGGTAGGGCGACGGACGGTGACAAGGGGGCCGGCGTAGCGCATTGCCTTGAGAAACTCGTCACCCGACAAGTCGCACTTGCACTCGCGGATGAGCAAGTCCACGAGCAAGGTGCACTTTTGGAGGCGAGGCTCAGTTTCCCCGTGCACCTCTACAGCCGCAATCTCCTCAATAGATGGGGAACCTGGCTGCTCCGCTTGGTCGTCCTGGGGTACGGAGCCCTGACTCCCGAGCTCGTGCTCGGCTTCGGACATACGGAGGGAGGAAGACTCGACAGACATGGAAGGAGCAGAGTAGTGGAACTGACCTCAAATAGACGTCGCCGGAGAACATCGGGAAGCAGCGAGCGGCGGCGCGGAACGAGGGTGAATGGCCAACCCTAATACTTTCTCTCTCTAGAATGTGTGAGAATGAAGGAAGCCTTGGGGGCTATTTATACTAAAGTTGGGCCTAAGTGATGATGGGCCAAACAGGTCATGATGGGCCGCCACTTGGGAGAAACGAGGCGTCACAACCGCTCGTGGTGAACTCTAAACGTCACCACCTGTCCGCCAAGCAATGCGTGGGCCCGTGAGCTGACCATCCACAATGTTTTCTACTCTCACGCGCTCCGCTGCTAGTTGCAACGGAACCCGGAGAGTGGGGGGCTTCTGATGGGGAATAACCCCACGTCAGCCTAGGGCTGACATCAGCATAAATTTCCCTAAGTATTGGGCTTGAACATCTCTGCTCAGTCATCTCTGCTTGCCACCTGAGCTCCGCTCGTCCCTCCTGCTCGGCCCACGAGCTCCGCTCATCCCTCCTGCTCGGCTCGGCCAACCGAGCCGAGCCCGAACCCCGCGACAACGACGTGAAGAAAACGACGTGCGACAAAGACTTGATGAAAGCGATAGGATGAAAGGGACAAGACCAAGGGACAGGTGACGTCCACTAAACGATGAGCCTCGATCAGAGGGCTTTGACTTAATGTATTGCACCCCCTATAAAAGGGGTGGCACCCCTCATTGTAATGGATCCGAATTCTAAGTCAATATACTCCTACTTTGCATTCTCTCTCTAAAACTTATATTATTTGATATTCCCGGTGGTTTATAGCCATCAGTATGTATGTATGTATGTATGTATGTATGTATGTATGTATGTGTGTGTGTATGTATGTATGTATGTGTGTGTGTGTGTGTGTGTGTATATATATATATATATAGACACACACACACACACACACACACACACACACACACACCCTTTTGGCCTACTTTGTTTTGGCGCCTTCCATTTACTATTTAGTTTTCTTGTAAGGTGTTATGTTTAGACTTTTATTTCTATCGTGCTGGGAGTTGGCCAGTACACATTCTGCCTTGTATCTTTTGTGTATCACACGAATAGACTTCACACTTTTTACGGATGAGACGTTTTTGTGTGTATATACGAGATTAACTCGGTTGGCTTAGAATTCAATTTTTCTTTCACCTCTATAAGGTTACCATCATCTTTTCTTAGTTGAAGAATTATTCGTCAACACTTGATAACACCATGATGTTCAGCCAGCCAATCCATACCAAGGAGAAAGTCAAATTCCTTGTATGGTAATTCAACGAGGTTTGTAGGGAACTGTTGTTCTTGGATAATTAACGAACAATTTCAATACACATGATGTAATTGCAACTATGTCCTAATGAGTTAGACACTAGCCTGGGATACTCTAAATAACAAAGTTTATTAATTCTAAACGTTTGCGTTAGGATCAAGGATTGCGTTGTGCTAAGTCCATAGGAGGTCCTGAACATCGGATTTACCAATTCCATTCACAGTGCCACACTAAATGTTTCTTCAGGGTCATCTCCTTCCCATGTGACTTTATGGTGAAAATAGATCTTGGTTGGCATTTTTCCCAACTAAGAGCTAGGTGAGTTTCCTCGCATCTTATGAGGACTTTTTCCAGATTACCTAGGCATTCGTCAAATGATTTCCCTGTGATAGAGAAATCATCCATAAAGACTTCCATAAAATCCCCTATAAACTTTTTGAAAATAGCTATCATACACCTCATGAAGGTGGCGGGAGCATTACAGAGTCCGAATGACATTCGACGGAATGCAAAGGTTCCGAACGGGCAAGTGAAAGTGGTCTTCTCTTGGTCTTCAAGGTTTACATGGATTTGGAAGTAACCACTCATCCCATCCAAGAAGCAATAGTACGCATGGCCAGCTAATTTCTCAATGAGTTGGTCAATAAAAGGAAGGGGAAAATGATCCTTGCGTGTGGCATCATTTAACTTTCTATAGTCTATGACCATTCGCCATCCAGTTACCGTTCTTCCTGGAACTAACTCTCCCTTCTCATTTTTGGTTACTGTCATCCCTCCCTTTTTGGGAACGACGTGGATTGGTGACACCCATTGGCTATCTGAAATAGGATAAATTATTCCAGCATCCAAGAGTCTAAGCACTTCTTTCTGCACTACTTCCATTAATTTTGGATTCAACCTGCGTTGAGCCTGCACAACTGGTTTAAATCCGTCCTCAATGGCTATTTTATGTGTGCAATAAG